GTCTTTGCCCCTTGCGACCTACGTCATCTTTCTCGTTCCACTTCTTAAAGGCCCAGTCTCAATGAAACTAATGTTAAATACAGTAAGTCATCCCAATTTCAAATCCATTTTTCCCTAAACAAAACTTTGGCAAGGGCAGAATGAACACAATTCCAGGTGCTGACGAACGACTGACAAACCACGTGTTCCGGTGGCAGCAACTGGGCGGGTTTGAACCACCTGCACCTGGATCCGTGGGGCAGATGACGGCTGGGAAACTCGGAGCTGAGAGGGAACTTGTCCCCAGCTCTGAGTACTGTAAAGAGGGGGCAGCACCTCCAGTTAGGAGCCACGTGGGCTGCCCACAGAGCATGACTGCTAAAGATTTTTGATTTTCAGAACTCAAAGAAACCCTGTAGGTGTAAAGACCCCCGTGCTTTGACAAGTTACTCAGCACGACGCACAGGGGAGTCAGGTCTGGCTCACTGTGAGACCACGCCAGGCCCTTGCTGCTGTCAGTTTGCCGTCCGAGAGTCTCAGGGATCTTCCAGAGCCTTCTAAAGCAGGCCTGGGGGCATAGAGCAGCACCTAAGCTCCCGCTCGCCTCCCACTCAGGCGAGGCAGGTCAGCCACTGGCAGCTCTGCGGTCCCTGAGTTGGGAGACCTGGAGGGGCCCCCGGGACCAGGTGAGAGGCTCCTCCCGCCCTGACCCAGGGCCCGTCTTCTCACACTCCTCCTCTGGTGTGTGGATTGCAGGCAGCAAAATGAGAAAAAAGAAGAGGACCCAGATGGCTGCTGCCCAAGCCCTTAGACCAGTGCTGAACACGACGGAGGCGTGAAGCCAGGCGTGAGAGAGAGGTGGGGCCCAGCAAGCTCGTCTGTCGCAGCTCAGGCCATCTGGTGCCTCCACTTTTCCTCCCCAGCGTCTAGATCCCAAGTGCTCGCCCCCACCTTGCCTGGTCACCCTGACTCACGCAGAGCACTGCGGCCTACTTCCTGAGGGCTGCCCCACCTGCACCTTCCTGGCACAGGCCATGCTCCCCGGCCACAGTCCCAAAGAAACCCCGAGGCACAGCAAACGTATCCTACAACTTCACGCAACTCCAGGGCAAACCACACATTCCGTTGCCTGAGCACACAGTCACCCTCTTGAAGGCAGGGCTGCCGAGTAGAGGCTTCTGCTGCTGCAGGGCGAGGGATGGGAGTAGGGCCACAGACACCCACGCCTGTGTCGACAGCCTCTCTCCTCTGCAAGGCCTGAACGCTAATCCTGGCCACGGCAGATGTGCTTGGCCTGAGCAGATTAAAGCATCCTCTGAGTTACTTTCCTTCCCAATTAAAACACTTAAAATTTGCACTTAAAAAATTTAAAGTGCAAATTGTGAAATGAAGAAAAGGATGAAGTGATGGGTGAGACCAATCTTCCCACAAGGAAAGCGCCTCATGCCATTACCCGTGGGGAGAAGAGACCACACTTGTATCGGGCTGGTTCCTCAACACCGAAGATAAAAAGGGAGACGTTTCCAAACTACACTTCCACTGGCAAGTATCTATTAGTCATTATCTCTGAAGCAGGCTCAGTGGAAGCCTGAGATCGAAAACATTTTAATTCAGGTGAAATTCCTCGTGCTCATTTTTGTTTTGAGTTTTTTAAAGTGGCATTTGGGGAAATTTTGTCTGAAAGACAGAAAAAGTGCCGGGAACCTCAAGAGGCCATGAACGCACATCCCACCCCAAGGCCCCGCAGACGTTCTGGACTGGGCAGTGGCTGCCCCTGGGGGCTGTCCTGAAGCAGGGATGGGTCCTGTGGTCTTCCAGGAGCAGAAACCCCAGCAGCCACTGCTTTCTTCCCTCCTGGGAAACACTGCATTTCTGGGTCTGACTAATCTAATGATGCTGGTTCCCAAAGACCATTTTCCGGTAAACTCACACCACAAAAATTCCTGTTAAAATTACGTCTGTAGACAACTCACTTCTGGTTTATTCATGAGTGAGTTCACAAGGTAAAAGCAGAGCGGGAGGACCTAAGATGAGGAGGCTGGGAGAGAGGAGGAAGGAAAAGCCCCCAGCTCCCCACAGGCTCCCGGCTCCTCTCTCCAGCCCAGGTTTCTGCAAGAGAACAGGCAACAAAAGAGGGGCTCTGAGATGCATCTTGCAGCATCGGGACAGGCAGATCATCCACTCTCCAAGATGCCTGAGTAACATGAAGTCTGGCTGACTGTCCAGTACCCTGCTGGCTCGCAGATCAGGTGACCGCCAGCAGCCCCCACCCATCCCACAGCTCACCCCTGACCCCGCTCCACCAGCTGGCTCCGTTCTCTACCTCCTTATCCACTCCAGGCCTGGTGCTGATTAAAGTGTTATGGTTGTTCCTGCTCTCATCCCCACCCTGAGTCCTGACAGAGGGACTGGGTGGCCCCAATCCCTGATCAGCCTTTTCCAAAGTAGACATGTCTTTTGCACCGAGTCCATCCAGGAGAAAAGCTCAGCCCCCACCAGCCTGCCCACCGCCCTGAGCAGCTGCTGGAGGCCCCGGGCGTCTCTCTGGCACTTTGTCAGTCTTCAGGAACCTCTCCTGCTCTCTCTGCTAACTGGCATTCCAAATGGCTTGGCCATAACTAGACTGAGCAGCAGCAGGAAGGAGGTTAGTCAGGCTCTGACCCCCGTCTCCTCAGTGCAGAGTGGTGGGTCTGCTCTGCCCCCCACAACACCACAAATGTCATTGTCTGCACACTCAGTGACCCTAGGCCCAGGCGGAGGCAGGGCGGTGGGGGCTGGGTCTCTGGGCAGCACCAGGGAGAGCGCTCACCACCTCCACGCCAGGGGACAGGCCAAGCTCCAGCCAATCCAGGCTGACTGCAGAGCCAGCACTGCCGCTGGTCAGCTGCCAGAGCTGCCCAGCATGCACCCCCGTGCCCGCATAACCTCTGCCAGCCTCTCCCTGACATCTCTGGGCACTAACAGAGCTACCAAGCAGAGGCTGCAACCCCCAGAGCAGAGCAACTTCGCATCCCACATGGCTACAAAGGGTCATCTCAGAGTTTTTCCCCACTCATGCACCAGGAGCATTCAAGGCAGTGGGTGACCACTGCCTTTGCCAGAATCTTCCAAGAGGGATCAGAGCATTGGCTCTGAACAATTGAGGCTACCTCCAGATCTGTGAGCAATGACTGAGGGTCACACAGCCCCCTGAGTGGCACTTTAGACAGAATCAGCCCCCTGCCTTGGGTAAGCTCCCAAGCCCTCTTCAGGGATCCATAGCCCAAAGGGGTCAGAGCTCAGGCTGTTCCTGAGTGGAAAGGCCTCTTTGTCTAACTCTATGTGGCTCCTGCTCAGGCTCCTGGATCAGCAAGCACCCTGTGAAGTTCAGCACTGTCCAGGTGCCCAGAGGGCAGGAGAACCCTGTGGGAGTCTCAGTCTCTACAGGACAGAAGAGTTCATAAAGCTGACTCCTTCTCTTTGAAAACAAACTGCCCTCTAAGCCCTGACCCAGCCTCCTCTGCACAAGGAACAGCTACCCAGGGAGACAGGGCAGGGTTGCAGCGCCCTGGCTGGTACCGCTGGACCCCAATCCCTGCTCTCTTACTCTTTTGTTTACTGTTAATTAACAGGGCCATATGGAAGGAGGTGATAATCACAGTCAAGGACCAATGGGAGGGGAGCCCTAGGTGGCAGGCAGGGCCGAGGGGAGCCACCCTTAGTCAGGCCTGGGTGAGGACACAGCACCTCACTCCCCAGGCCAGAGTGAGGCCAGGGCAGTCTCTGTCAGCACCTCGGAGGAGACAGAGCCTCAGCACCAAGTGGGTCCCCCAACTCTGCCCCAACACCCCTCCCACCTTTTCTGCACTAAGCCACTGGTGTTAGAAGTGTCCTCGGGTTTCTGTGATTTAAAAAAAAAAAAAAAAAAAAAAAACTACAAGGGCAAAATTCTCCTCCTCCCTCTCCCAAAAGGATAATTACAATCATTGCTGTCATTATCATCATTATAGTGACAGTGTCGATGCCCACGACCAAACCCGCATGCAGCCACGGAACCCCCCCACCACCACCACCACAGATGTTTTGTTTCCAAAATTAAAAACCAACTTTACCAGCCAATGGTGTCCACTGATTCAAAGGTGCTGCTGAGACAAGAAAAGCCCTGGGTGGCTCAGAAGCAGCAGTGAGAACCCACCCCACCAACACAAAGCCACCAGCACTTTTTATTTTCCTGGTTGATGAAGAAGAAAGTGAATTCAATGGACAGAGCCAAAGTCCATGGCCCCAGAACTGCAGACAATGGTATGAAGGTGTTCATCGCTTACACCGACTTCTTAGCTAACCCTGATTTCTAGTTTTAAATATAAAATTCCAGTTACACTACCACCACACACAACCACACTCCACAACCCCACGGACAAGTAACGAGAAAAGGGGCTGAGAGGAGCGGCCAGTATTTACTTCTGTACATCTGTCCACAGACACATGCACCCTCAATATTGACCCTCAAGTTTAGAAATGCATGACATGCAGACAAAACGCTCATGTGAGCACCTCTACTCAGTACCTTGGGTGGGGGGGGTCACACATGACACACCCCAGACTCTGAGACCCTACTTCAGAGAGATCTTCTGTCTATGGGGCCGTGCTCTCCCCAGGTACGGAGCTGCTGGGTCCCAGGGCCACAGACATATCCGTTGTTCATCTTCCAGAAATGCGCATAAAGTTTCTCATCTCGATCTGCACTCCCCTCCCCGAATGTCTCCTCTGTCAGACGCACAACATGTCCCCTGGAATCTCAGAGGAGCAGGAACAACAGAGAGACCAGAGGAAAACAGCACACGGCAGGCCAGGGAGGAGAAGAAAGCCTCAGTCCTCCAGGGCAGTTTCAAAAAGCCACCCTCAGACCTGCCTTTCCTGCAAAGACAGCCTTCATCTTAGAAATTAACTCTGCCCTCGCGCCCTCTCCCTGTCTCTGTCCAAGAGGAAAAGCCAGGCATTGGGTATCTGCCTTTGTCAGAAAGAACATAACATTGACTTACCTTTCCCCACAGCTATTGTCTGTCCTCTTTCAAAATGACATCACGGAAAGCAATCATGAAATTTACATGGGGGGTGCAGGGGGGACTGGGGGAGGAGAGGGAAGGCAGCTGCCTCCCTTACACGGTCACATGTGGGGAAGCCTGCGTGCGGGTTTCAATTAAATATCTTCTCCCCTTAGTGTGCGAACTCCTAAGCCAGCTAAAGGCGACGTCTCATTTACTTAATGACTGCTCTCATTAGCAGCGGTGGCACGGGCTGGCGGAGGAGGCTCCTTTGTAAATACGCTACCCATGAACCCTTGGGGCTCCAATATATCTGTTTACTCTCTGAGGTGAAATAAATTTACAGTATAGCATCAGAAAGATGGATCCGCTGAATTGGGGGTGAGAGGTGTCCCAGGCCGGCAGAGCCCTGTGCCCTGCTTGGAGCCTCGGCCAACAGAAGGTGCGTAGGTTTGTCCACAGTGATTCATAATCAATGTGCAGCACGACTGAGTTTTTTTTTTTAATGCAAAACACGCAAAAGGGCAGAGAGTATTACAACCACCACATTCACCCCCCTCTGCTTTCTCTGCCAGTGGTTCAGTCCAATAATTCCTAATAGCGGCAACGGGAATGACAGATGCCCTGGGTTAGCATGGCTACAGCGAAAGTACTTTACAATATTTATTGGTGGTTAGGAATATGACCTTCTATCATAAAGAACGGGCTGCAGAATTTATTACTCAAACGAACCAGGAACATTACATATTGGCTCATCTGCATATTCAAGTACCTGTGACATAAATGGATAGGTATTTTTTTAACTGCATGAAAGGTTAACTATAGCCACAGACCAACAAATAAAGTCATGCACACAAAGAACAGATCAGCAGAAGACATTTTTCTGTTATTACATGGTCCCTTTTCACTTTAATTTTTACAATTATAAAACCCTCCCAAAGAGAACTCAGGGATCCCTGGGGCATGAGTATCCCACCCCTAAAAACACTAAGTTTACTCTGACTAGAGGGAAGAACATTGCCCAAGTTTTCTGCTCTTTTTCTGATTCTTTTACAAACTGCCTGAAGGAGCTATCCAATGAAAATGAAGAAGAGAAAAATCCATAACACACACAATGGACGTGCCCACCCACTCTTTATGCAACCTGACTGTCTGCCTTCTCATCTGCCAGTTTGTGATTTTTCCCCCACATTCAGGGATAAATGTAGGAATTTCCTCAGTAAGAGTAATCAAGAGCCAGAGTATTATTCTTGTTTGCAGCCCAAATCTCCTTCTTGTACTAATAAATCAAGCAAACGGTTTTCCATTATCATATCAGGATGTCAGAAGCTAAACTGGAACCCAAGGCTGAAAACTGAACGTGAGACACTGTGAGACACCTGCAGAGATGCTACCATCAGGGGCCAGCTGGAGAACCAGCAAAACTCTCTTCTCAGGAGTTCAGTGCAGAGATTGCAACAGACAGTAAACATTTCTTGGTAAATTATGCAAGAACACAATACCCCAACTTAATTAGCACTAAAGGGCTCAGGCCACCAAAAGTGTGAATGAGACAGAACTGAAATATTTTGCTTTCTCCAAGAGAGCATGTTTTGAAAATCTTAGTGGCTTATTTTTAACATGCAGTTAGTGCTTTACACACAAACCAATGAGCTTCACCCCAAAGGCAAGTATCTTAGATTCTTGTACACACACATCATCCTCAACAAATAAAACACAAAATGCACACAGAGATATTGTTTAGATTGAGCACAAGGAAATTAGTGCAGGCCTGCACTGGTCAAACTGAGAATGAAATATTAATTAGTCAAATGAGAACAGCTTGAGGTTTCCACAATGACTGCCTACCATTTTTTAATTCTTTAATAAACTTATATCCGTTAGCATAAAAGGACACGTTCAGCTAAGCGATCTCCTGAAAACCCATTTCTATCTCCTCTGGACATGCTGTGAGTGCCAGGATGTTTTACATCCCAAACCTTCGGCATTCAGAAATTCTATTAAACTCTTATCGGTAGGCTGCAGGCGCCAGGCAGGCTTGCAGGCCATTGTTCCATGATGGAGATAGAATCAAAGGGAGGGCCATTGCTGAATCAGCCTTATTTCCCAACAACACCCAAGGTTTCCTGAAAGTGACTTAATTCAGATATGCAGTAGTCAGGCCTAAGAAGCCACCGCGCAGCAGAGGTGGCATCAGGGAGACACCAACTTGTGCAGCATGGCTTCGTGGGCGCAAGGGGTTTTTCAGGGAATAGAGACGGTATTTGTGAAAACGTGAGTTCCGCGGCACTTCCCACTTCCCCCTCGGAACAGTCAGTAGCAGGCCCTGCTCGGGAAGAGCCTTCAGAATGTGCCTGGAAACTTAAAATTAGGACCCAGAGAGCCTGGGAGGTTCGAGTGGGATGAGCAGTTTCCGAAGATGAGTTTCGAGGAGCAAAGGTTCGAACTCGTTCGCCGGCACGGCCAAGAGAACAAAGGAGTCCAGGGGAAGGCGCAGGGCGGAGAGGGGCCTGCGCGTTTCCCGGTCCGGCCGCCGCCCGGCAGCCCCGGGAAGGCGCCCGAGCGGTGGGTGGACCCGCGGTCTGATCAGCACTTCGGACAGCGCTCTCCCCCCGGAGGCCTCTTTGTTCTCGGCGCAGGGAAGCCTGCGAGCTGGCACCGAATTCAGACCGCTCCACTACGGGCTGCCAGGCTGAGACGGAGACCTGCAACCCCGAGGCTCCCGAGCCTGCTAGGGGGTTCGCAGCCCAAACCAACAGGGAGGGTGGCCTGTGAGAACAGCAAGGTATCATCGATCGCACACTGCTTTCTTAGAGAGGGTGGAAACGTGTCAGGCATTTTTGAATTATAAAGTATTTTCTCTTCCATAACTAGGCACGGCGCACATTGTTTCTTTGGGTTTTATTTCATAAAGATCTGTGGGAAAGTCACATGTGACTTTTTAATAAATGTTTGGAAAGATACACCAGGAAATAACTCCTGTCTGACTGGCGGGTCCTCAGACTCCACGCGGGAGGGAAAGGCGAGATTTGCAAAAGCAAACTTGCTGAGCCGCCCTCACTGAGAAAGTGCTTTGTGTGAGTGGGGAGCCGGCTTAATGATCGCTTAGCTGGTAAGATCATTTCAAATAAAGTGTAATTACTTGTGCAAATCTGCACACAGACATTCCAAGTGTCAGTTCATTTGCTTCATAAAAACTCTTTCAAGTAATTTTGGTCTAAACTTTCTGCATCTGTAATTGGCACCACCTTCTCCGGTGACCAGCTGGGGGTGAGGGTTTTCTTGTTTCCTTCTGAAAGCTTCCCCGCAGATGGGCGCCTGCCTTAATGCCGCAGACGACAATTAGGGCCGTTGTGTGAGGCCGAGATGGTGAGCATTAATATTGTATAGAACAGCTGAGGGCGGGGGTGCTGCCCCAGGCCAGCCCTGGCAGATGGAGCAAACAAAACCGGGACCCACTCTCCGCCACACTCGGGGCTGACTTGTGTTTCTGTCTCACACTCATGCAGACACTCACAAACATTTGGCATCCAGTTTGTGAGACCCTCACATCACGTGCGCGCACGCACACACACGTGCACTTTCACACACAGCAACTCTGAGTGTGATGAGGATGCAAGCTGAGCGGCCCCAGCCAAAGCCCCTGAGTTACAGTAAGTCGCAGGGGACATCTGTCACACACAGATTCTCTCTGCCCACCTTCTCACAGAGCCTTGCTCCCAAGCCAAGGGCTCCCAACACCCACCAGTTGACTGGCCCGAGGGGCAGGTCTGGGCAGGTAAATCAACAGAAAGGAGACCTGGCTGGCATCTGCACACACCCTGCCCACCACCCTCCCACCTCCAACCTTCCGTGGGGCAGCGTTCAGAGGGCTCTGCAAGCCACAGGGTCCTCGAGAAGGGGAGGTAGCTGTTTTCCCGAGGCCCGGGCTGTTGTTTGTTCTGGGGGGAGCGTGTCTGTCACCTCCTTGGCTGCCCAGAAAAGAGCACTGAGCACTGATTGGGGGACACACACAGCTAATTAGTCCCTTTGGCATCTCAGCAGAAACTTGTGAACAGACCAGGGAGGGATGCGAGGGGCTGGGGGCGGTACGCACCCAGGAAGGTCCCGCAGAGCGTCATCCTGGCCAGGGAGTGCACCTTCTCTCTGGGAACACACGTCACCTCATGCTGGAAAAAGTTGCTGCTCAAACTTGTGTTCCAGGGCCCTGGGGAGACCCCACTGCCTCCAGCCAATCAAGACCAGGGAGCAGATCATCACAAATCGATGCCCCGGCTGCCTGCCAATGAGGCTCTCTCCTCCACACAATGGGCTCAGGCTCCAGACAACCTCTCCCCCACCCCACAGGGCCAGGGAAGGGGAGTGAGGGGAGGCAAAGACACAGCCCTTTCCACACAGTAATGGACTCGCGGTGAGTGGGGAGGGCCCTTCCTGAAGCTGCAACCCTTCCCTGCTTCCTCTCAAGCGGCACTGTCAGACCAGGTCCAGCCTGAAACCGGGTGGGGAACCAGCCAGGATGGTGTGAGAGATCTTCACATCACATGCACATCCACACATGTGCACGCACACATAGCAACTCTGAGCGTGATGAGGGCACAAGCTCCTAAGTGGGGTCAAGCCTGGCTCCCCACAACCCACTCACTGGCTGTCGAGAGGGCAGGCCCCTGAGGGTCCTGGGCCGGTGTGGTTGACTGCCCCCAATTCAGTCTAGTCCCAGGCAGAAGCTATGGTGGGAGGTGCTGGGGGTGGTGAAGTGCAGGAGTCAAGACTCCTTTGACAACCTCAGACCCTGCAGGCAGAGGGTGGGGTGTGCAGGAAGGAGAGAGCTGCCCAGAGGGATCTGGACCTCCCAGCAGTGAGAGCCACACCAGGGGTAGGGAGGGACAGGGTGTGAGGGGAGCAGGGGTGGGCGCTGGAGAGGCCTCTTCTGGAATGATCCCCAGTGCCTCTAACTGGGTCCATGAGCTTTCCCTGCCCGCAGGGGCCCTTTGAAATAATGAATGTGGCCGGAGCGTCGAGCCCGGCCGTCCTCTGGGCCAGCTTCCCCCGATGCCCATGGAAGCTCCCATCACCAGCCAGCAGGCAGCTCAGGGTCACCTTCTGGTCCTCACTGCTGCAGACGTCTGTGGGGACTGGTGGAGGCCCAGGTGACACTGGCTTCTGTTTCCCGTCACGTGGCCAAATCCAGCAGTCGCCCCCATCCAGGGCAGCAGTGAGACGGGGGCCAGGAGTGGAGGGTTCAAGCCTTTGGAGGAGGCAGGTCTGGCCTGACCTCTGACCGGCC